AATATATACTGTATATATATATATATATATATATATATATAATAAAATATAAATTATTAAAATATAGTGTTTAATATTACGTCATATATATTAAACAAGGTAATTTATCAACTCCCTGCCTTTATTCATTTACATATGTGTATTAATCATATTTGAAGTCCTTTTCACAAAAGAAAAAGTGGAGGTGGTTTAAAAATAGACAATCTTACATGCATTAAGCACTTTGTTGGATAAAATCAAGAGTTTATGGATCCTATCAGCACAGTTTATCAGCAGACATTTCCTGTCGACCTGCGGCTCAGAGAATTACTAGTGGTTTGTTTGTGCTGAGAGTTTTACAGCCGTGTCTGACACGTTTAGCGGTTATCTTTTGGACACGGTTCAGCCTATCTGTATTCTGTCTTCTGCCATGGAGAGCTTTCCGTGGAGAAACAAAATACCTGCTTCGCTGTTAAACTGAATTCAGAACAAGAAGCAAAATGCACAAATGCTTTTATCATTACACTAGCTTATGGGTTGTAATACTAAGCACATGTGTAACATGTTTTATTGTTTATGGGATAAGTATTGATGCCCAAGTCCTTCTCTGTCTCACAGTAGGTTTGGTACAAAGTGTGCCCGCTGTGGCCGGCAGATCTACGCCAGCGACTGGGTACGGCGAGCCAGAGGCAATGCCTACCATCTGGCCTGCTTCGCCTGCTTCTCCTGCAAACGGCAGCTGTCCACAGGCGAGGAGTTCGGGCTGGTGGAGGAGAAAGTACTTTGTCGGATCCATTACGACACAATGGTGGAGAACCTGAAACGGGCCGCTGAGAGCGGTACGTGTGTTTCAGATGCATTTCGCTTTAAATCTCGTTGATCTGAAAAGAGTTTCTAACCACTTTCCCCGGGTTTTTACGCAGGAAGCGGACTCACTCTGGAGGGGGCGGTGCCGTCAGAACAGGACAGTCAACCAAAACCGGCCAAAAGGGCACGAACGTCCTTCACTGCAGAACAGCTGCAGGTAAGATGATCAAACACAATGAGGAAGCAAAGCCCTCTTTGTGGTTATGCTTTTGTCTGGTATACATTCATATTTCAGTTCCATTTAATGTTTTAAACAAATGGAACATCATTTCACCTTTTATATGGCACTATCAGAAAGCAACCAACCCCTTCTGTATCATATTTAAAACAAGGTCTCTAAATGATCAGCATGATCAAAACTCGTTGCTTACAATCTACTACATGCTTTCTGTCATCTGATTGATCGTTTATACTTTTTTTAATAAGTAAAAGGCCTTTTAGTATAATTGTGAAAATGTCTTTTTGCTTTGAAATCTTTACTGATTTTATAAAGTAAACATTAGAATAATTTATATTATTAGTATTTCAAGATCAACATTTACCGGACTGAAGCAACTTAGGTTTACTTGATTATCCATGTATCATTTTTTAATATGTGTGTATCAATTATGATCCATCAGGCGTTTAAGAAACGTTTATTTGTTCATCTCTCAATCATCATTGTATTAAATTGCATTATAAGTTTTGAAACTACAGAGCTTTGATCATCAAACTAAGCATTTAAATATCATCTTACAAAGACATTATTTGGCCGATATAGAGTGAAAACTGATATCCATATGCATTTTATGTAAGTAGCCTGATATATTGTTATAAAGATCATTGATTTACATTACAAGATAGGAGAATTTCATCTCACTTTTTGGCCATATACATACTGTAACAACACTGCACAAAATTGCATATTTTTGTCCAGTTTGGGCCTCTGAATAAAAGAGTTTTTTCCTCCTTTTAAGTATGAGCTCCATATTCTCAATACATCATACTTTATGAGCCATAAAAGCCTGATGTATCAAATATGATACTCAAAAACAATGCAAACTCTTTGTCTAAAGTTTCAATAAACTGTTCCATTTAAAAAAGTTTTTTAATTTCATTTATAATTATAATTTGTAATTAAGATTTTATATGATTTCTAATATATTAGATTATTTTTAATGTATGAATTCTTTACAAATATGCACTTCCCCTCAGTAAATGAGCTAATGCTAATGTGACACATGCATGCACAGGTAATGCAGGCGCAGTTTGCACAGGACAACAACCCTGACGCTCAGACCCTGCAGAAGTTGGCAGACATGACAGGACTGAGTAGACGAGTCATACAGGTGACAAAAACCTCTTAATGTTTCCTTAATACTTCCATTCCATTCAAATGCATTAAAAGAGACGGCTCGTCTTGACAGCTGGTTGTATTTTCATAGGTTTGGTTTCAAAACTGCAGAGCGAGGCATAAAAAGCACACTCCCCAGCACAGCGGCCCACCTCAAGCTCACCCGCAGGCCCGCATGCCCCCATCGCTGCCCGACGAGCTGCATTACTCCCCTTTCGGCAGTCCTGAGAGAGCACGCATGGTGGCCCTGCACGGGTACATCGAAAGTGAGTGTCTCCTCAGAGCTGCTGTCATTAAAGCCGAAGGGCAAGAAAAACTGTAATTCAGTGACACTTTTCATTCTAACTGTTATTGCTAATAATATATTAACAGTAATAATAATATCAAAAATATTTACTTTAATATAAATTACTGTTCAAAAGTTCAGAATAATTATGATTTTTTAATGGTTTTGAAAGAAGTCTCTTCTGCTCACCAAGGCTAGATTTATTTGATCAAAAATACAGTAAAACAGTAATATTGTAAAATATTTTTACAATTTAAAAGAACGGTTGTAATATATTGTAAAACGTAAGTTATTCCTGTGATGCAAAGCTGAATTTTCAGCATCATTACTCCAGTCTTCAGTGTAACATGATCCTTCAGAAATCATACTAATATGCTGATTTGATGCTCAAGAAACTTTTTTTAAATCAATGTTGAAAGCAGTTGTGCTGCTTAATATTATCGTGGAAAGTGTGATACACTACCATTTAAAAGTTAGTAAGATTGAAAAAATATATATAAAAAGTGACAGTAAAGACATTTATGTTACAAAAGATTTCTATTTCAAATAAATTGCTCTTTTGAACTTTCGATTCATCAAAGAGTCTTGAAAAAATGGAATCATTGTTTCCACAGAGATATTAAGCTGTTTTCAACATTGATAATAATCAGACATGTTTCTTGAACATCAAATCATCATATTAGAATGATTTCTGAAGGATCATGTGACACTGAAGACTGGAGTAATGATGCTGAAAATTCAGCTTTATAATCACAGAAAAAAAAAACATTTTTAAAATATATTAAAATAGAAAGCCGTTATTTTAAATTGTAATAATATTTCACAATCTTTCACTGCATCTTTGTTCAAATTAATGTCATTCTTTTAAAATCATTTAAAAACCTTAATTATTCCAAACTTAGTGTATAAAGTAGTCCCCAGTACTGATAAACACATTTTTTTCAAACCAAACTGGTGGCGTTTTTACTCTGGACTAAAAATATGTAGCGATGAATTAATATAGCTAGAGATTAATATTATGTTGTGTTTATTTTGTTTTGGTTTCGCAGGTCATCCGTTCTCGATGCTCACCACACAGAGCCTCCCTCATCAGGCCATGACGTTGCCGCAGCTCCCTCTCAGCCGCTAACGCCCCCGCCTCGCACTGACCCCTGACCTCCTGCTCCAAACCTCCGTCCCCCAGCGCCGACCCCAGAGGTCGGATCTGGCTGAAGGAGAGGGGCACGGTCCCTCTTGTTCTTGACCTCTGAACTCGCAAAGAGAGAGACTGTTTCCTCTCTGGTTTCATTGGACAGGATTTACTCACCTGCATCTAGTCACTCTCGGTTAAGGAAAACCGCATACGTGACCTGTGGATTTAGGACTTTGTCACCAAGACCAGGATCTGGACTTTTGGACAAAGAGAAAAGACTCGAGCACACACTGTAAAAGACTAGCGCTCTTTGTGCGTCCTCTCTTCTGATAATCTCATCTGACTCTGAATGCAAACAAAAGGAATGTAAAGTTACCAGCATCAGTGTTAAACATTTAGATTGAAAAAGGCAAAAGCACAAAAGATGTGGATGGGAAATAAATGGCATAGAACCAGGTGGTAAGACAAATTTTCTCTCTCTTTTTCCTTGCCGAAATACGCCACGATTGAAATCTGTACTAAGCCACTGAAACGAATTTATGCCACGGTTCAGTTCACTATTCCTTGCTTTCTTGTTCTAACACCCGTTTGCAAAGCATATGTGTTTTCTTGGGCCTAAAAAGCCAGCAGTCTTGATTTGTCCACAGATTTCACTTTAAAAATAATCGTACATAAAGGACTTACTTAAAGTCCATCATTTAATTGTAAAAATAACTGCAAATTGTTTCTGCAATTGTTCGTCAACATTCTGTTTTGAAAGCAGATAGTTTTAGAAAAGTGAAATTGTTTCCTTTTAGATTCAGGTAAAATGTTGAATAATCATTTCTATAGTTTAAAAAGATGTCTAAATCTTTGATATCTTCCCTAATTTTGATCATTGATATTAATTTCAATAACTGTTGTCATTGCAGTTTACCCGCAATCATAGACTACAATTGACGTTGATCTTAGTGTGAGACTATTTCAAATCGAAAACAGTGCTCTGAACATTTTCGACAAAAAATGTAAAGAAATATTAAGGATCAAGAAGGGACTATCAATGACAAACAACAGTATTTTGTGCGTAGGATAGAAAGGAAGAGGAAAACTGAGACTGAAAAGAGCACTTGGGTAAAATGTAAAGATAACTACATGTAAAGCAAATGTACATGTAATGTATTTTTATTTAAGTAGTGTCCTGACTTTATGTGGGAGACGAAAGTGTCTATGTTCCATTGTTTTCTTCGTACATGTGTGCCGTATATGCCTCAGCTGTGACGAGGGAGCGGGAGTGTTGTATACTTGCTGCAGACACGTTGTATACTAACAGATAGGAGCTGTGTACAGGTCTGAAACCGGGGGAAAAGTCTGAAATTGTAACTTAAATTTGAGAAATGCATTCTTGTGTTCTGAATGGGGGACAAGACCTCTAGATTCTTGTATTTATTATGACAGGTAGCCTGTAAGCACTTTTCCCCACTTCCACATGTCTGTTTTGTAAAAAATAAAATAAAATAATTAACTATTTCTTTGGCTGTGCATCATTAATTAACTATTTCTTGGCTATGCATTTTTAAAAAAAAATAAATTAATTAGTTAAAAAGACTTTTAAAATGATTTTCAAATGTTTTCCAGTCCAAGCCTATAAAGAATGTATTTGTGTGTGTGTGTGTATGTGTGTGTGTGTATATATATATATATATATATATATTCATATTTCATTATTATTTTTAAGGCACTATTTACATGTGTTAAATACATTTTCTTTACCTTTTTTTTTTTAAATACTTGTGCTAGCTTGGATGTTATTTCTTAAAGTATAAATATAAATGTTTCATTCAGTACCATGGTATTCCCAGTACAGTGTTTTTTGAAAGGAACACTCTTTTATGACATGAAATGCAGATTCTATATCTTACTGCTACAGGTTATGATGACAGGATAGGATATTATGACATATTTCAAATATTACAGATCATTTGAAAAGAATATATATTTTTTTGTCACTTTCAGTGGTATTTTTGCCCTGAGCCCTGGTTAATTTCTGTCTCTGGTATAAATGCATGGGCCAGTGTTGGGTCTGTGTGCACGAGTGAAGCAGGAAGCAATCACAGGCTGATGGAGGAGCTGGCAGACCCTTCACGGGTCAGTGTGTGCAGTAATGACTCCATCACTGATTCCATCACCATCACATACAGGAATTCCCTGTCAGTCCACATCACAGGAATGATCTTGTATTTTTTTTTTTTTTACACACTTATTTTTTGAAGTATACATCTAAATATGTTTCATTCACTGCCATGGTATTCCCAGCACAGTGTTTTTTGGAAGGGAACACTCTTTTGTATATCTGACTGTTATGATGACAAGTTAGGATAGACTATTATGGCATATACCAAATATTACAGATAACAGATCATTCGAAAAGAAAAAATAAGTTTTTTTTTGTCACTTTCAGTGGCATTTTTTGCCCTGAGCCCTGGTTAATTTCTGTCTCTGGTATAAATGCATGGGCCAGTGTTGGGTCTGTGTGCACGAGTGAAGCAGGAAGCAATCACAGGCTGATGGAGGAGCTGGCAGACCCTTCACGGGTCAGTGTGTGCAGTAATGACTCCATCACTGATTCCATCGCCATCACATACAGGAATTCCCTGTCAGTCCACATCACAGGAATGATCTCGTATCCCGTGTTCGGTTTCAAAAGACATCATTTTTCACTAGCCTATCCTCTCTTCACTCAAGCACACACACACATTTGTTTAAATGCAGAAGATTTTGCATCACATTTCCTTCGAGCTGAGCAAGAATCTGACTCATTCATGTCAATAGAACACTGTATTCAGCTGTTGAATGTTTTCGCAGTATTGGTCATTTGCTTGGGCAGAATACAGCAATGATGTAACATTTTCTTGAGTTTGTACCCAAACCCCACTATTATCTATTCAAACATAGTTTTGTCTTAATAAATAAACTGTATGTAATGACTTTTAAAACCTAAACTCATTTAATGATATTTTATTCTTGTGGGTTGTTGTGTAGCTGTTCAGTTGAGATATATTTTTTTTTCTAGTTGGACTCTTTCATTTCTCATAATACCGTAATAATAAAAAGGAAAATAAAGCACATATAGTACATAATAAACATTTTTAGAAAGCTGCTCAATATAGAATATATTTTTTTATTATAGCTTTTGCATATATATATAGGACTTGTATAAGTTAATGCAAACTTATGTTTTATTTTTAGTTTTCCATTAAGCATTCATTCACATTATATGATTTCTGTGGGTTGCAGTTTTACAGATGTCAGTGTAGTGGTAATCACACATTTTTAAATATATATTTTTAAAGTGAAAATATTTTATTTTTAACTCTCAGTTCAGTTTTGGAAAAGAAAACCGGATTGAGAAACGAATTAATGTCACAAAGCTGCATCAATGTGTCATTCATATAAACAATGGCCTGCCTGTGTGTGAGTATTCTCACTTCTCCTCTAGTGTGTTGCCTCTTGGACAGTGGCCAATGAACTCATCCCAGCTCTTCCTGCAGGTCCGCACAATCCACACGTGTTCTTGGTCGTCTACAAGGACAGATAATACATATTTCACTCATTTTGATATGAAAAAACGCTTTCTATGTTTATAATAAAAGCATTAAGTCTGCACGCGCATAGCACACTTGTAAATGAGATACGTGCTTTTTTTCCCCTTTCTGATTGTTTGGTCAAAAATCGAGCTCCAAAAAGGCATGTGTCAAACTCATTCATATGCAGTTAAAGGCAATTTACATTTTTTACGTGCGGGATTAAGACAACAATTATGAAAATTCGCTCTCAGCAGCCTACTTCACGCGACAATCAATCACTCCCTTTTTTTCTTCGCCTTCCCAGAGATGATTCCGCAACCAAAAACAGTGGATAATATACTGCTTTTTTAAATGGTTATAACTGAAAGGAGTTGCTAATTGCGGAGCGCGAGGTAGTTCTGCTGCTGGTGCTGAATGTGAGCGCGCAGCTGCACGCACTTGAGCGCTCACCCCCATGAACATGGCGAACTGGGCCCATTGTTGAGAACAGGTCTTAAACTCTCATCTGATTGTCGGTAATTGCACGCGATGGCCCTAAACGGCCTCTCCACGCGCCTCCCGCCACTTCTACCTGGCTCCCGCGCGCGGCAATTGAGACTTTTTTTCCAGCACGCGACCGGTCCATTCTGCGACAGCTGCATGCTAACGTCTCACTTCATTCAGTCGCTCCCACCTCACGCTCTCCACATGGAGGTCACACTCGAGAG